TTAAACTTTTGATAGAATAATCGCCACAGTGAGCTAGCAGTTTAATCTGGTAGGCTCAATTATAAATTGTACGAGTTTTTTAGTTATAAAATGTGCACACATCTGACTCTACATTTTTTCTGCAAAATAGTACTTACTTCTCTTATCTTCTATCTTATCTTATTAAAAAATATTATTATACAGCAATGGGTAGAACATCTACAAGTACCTAATTCATGACACCCAAAGTGGTCAAAATGTTGACAACACAATTATATTCCAATTGTGACAAAGACGTATTGCGAACTTTTTGGCCATTTTAGGTGTCGTGAACTACATATAATATTTGACGCTGACTGTACATCCCATCTATAGGATTATCTTTTCAAAACACGAAAGCAATATGAAAATATGCATGTTGATTAAATTGTTTAAGAATTGTTACGTAATGTCTTGACTCCTTTTTCATGTCCTAATAATTATTCGATTCGAGCATGTGCTGGTATCTGGTATATGGTATGGAACATGNCTGGTAGGCTCAATTATAAATCGTACGAGTATTTTAGTTACAAAATGTGCACACATCTGAGTCTACATTTTTGCTGCAAAATAATACTTACTTCTTTTATCTTCTATCTTATCTTACTAAATAATATTATTATACAGTAAAGGGTAGAACATCTACAAATACCAAAGCAATATGAAAAATTTATGTTAAAGTGTTTAAGAATTTTATGAAATGTCTTGACTCCTTGTCCATGTCCTAATAATTAATTCGATTCGAGCATGTGCTGGTANGGAACATGTGATTAATGTTTCATAATCATTTTCAGATCGACTTTGAATGAATTGCGTAAGTAAATACTGAACCAACTGAGCCTCTTGTTTGCCAGCCCCAAAATCTCTGTTTACATTGAAACTTTAAAACACAATTTGCGTTTCAGTCCAAATTGTTATTCGGTCCGTATCGAATCCCGTTAACTTTGTTTCACAAACACCTAGACAACTTTAAATTTCCATTTATCAAATATCAAACCCGCTCAATTCGCTACACCGACAAAATGATATTGCATTGTATTGTCATTCCCATCTGGATCCACAGGATAATCCGAAAGGTAACATCGGTAACAAACCAAATGCTACCCTATTTCAAAAAGGGGATGACACAAATTGGATTAGCTCTAACATTAATAGAAACGCGGACGAAAATAATAGGGTCACAACTCAAAAAATTAAAAGTCATGCAAAAGTGAACTTAGGTGCAGTTAGTTTGAGTACAAATCGGATTGAAGATGCAAATGATGGGTGACATAAGTTTTGAAAACCGTAACCTATTACCAGTGACAAAACACGGTTGTCAGCGTGATGCGGATTTATGGGGTGCAACAATTTGTGCATTTACCATATTTTAGCTGAACCTTATTCTGTTGCAACAAAGGTCAGTTTTCTATAAATGTTGGAAAAAAATTGTACCGATATTTTTGTCGCCCATTGTTAGTGAATCAAATAATTAGGATAAGCGTAACAAGGCACTCGATGATAATTCTGATTGTTATGATTCTGCAGTTTGGTGTTCGTTAGTACCCAGTGTAGTGAAATAAATGCGCATAATTATTTACATATTTTAGTTGTGTGTAAGCTTTGTAATGTCAAAAAATACCTGATGATTAAGTTTGTTTTTACAAGTGATTGTTTTAAGACATAGGAGAATATCAAATAAAATCAACAATAATGTCACTGTTTTTTGCACTTCTGACGTTATTGCACCAAATGTGCCGAATATGTTATTTTTTATTGTAACAATAAATCTACTAGTGTGTACTTTTCAAACCATTGCGTTTACCCACTACTTCTAAAAGAAACCGTATTAATGATATAATTAACAACAAATAAACCGTGTTCCCACCGGACCCCAAAACTGCTGACCGAAAAATCTCTTTGGTAAATAAATCAAGTCGACAATAGGAACACACTCTAATGACAGTTCGAACGTAAAAGAGAACTCGCTGATTAAAAACAAATTCCCAATTCAAATGGATTTGAAATTCGAACAGATACTGATGAAAAGGTGGACACGCGGCCGGCGATAGATTACAACTTCTTTTGTGCCAGTACGAATACATCGACCATGCGATTATGAACTCTAAGTTTATTGTAATAGAGAAAAGTAACCGTTGAGTGACAGCAAAGAGGTGGTGATGATAATATGGCCGCCACGCGGCAAAGCATCCCTCCATAGATAATAAATGCTTTTAGCAAATAATTACGTTGTTTGATTTTAGATGGATGATGGTCGTCGGGCAAACAGTCGGTCGCGGATCCGTCGTGGGAGAAGCCTCGCATCACCGTTGTTTGCACGATAATTGGTTAGCAAGTTTATGGGGATACGATATGAGAGCAGGGTTTTTTTTTTTACTGTAATGATATTACATTAGAACAGAAGCTTTTCGTAACCGCTTATAAAGATTCTTATACATTTTGAAGTTTGTCTTAACATTAGGTACCTACTGGGAAATGGATTGATTTTCAACCCTTAGGCTGAGTTGCACCACCTAACTTTGACTGTAACTATAACGATAACTGGTGATTTTTGTATGGAGTTTGACAGATTTTTGACGTTTGCTAAAGTTAGAGTAAAATACAAAGACAATATTTGTGTACACAGAAACGCAAAATTCACACAAAAGTTAAAAGAATGTAACTACTTATCAAAATTAAAGTGATAGTTACTGGGTATATTTGTAAGTCTTTGTTTATTGAATAAAATGAGAGATCATACTTTGTGAAGCTATTGGGGGAGTCTTACATCCCACAGTAGAATGTCATAAAGGCTAATCTTATCTATTATATAAAAGAAAGTCGTGTTAGTTACTCCACTTATAACTCAAGAACGGCTGAACCGATTTAGCTGAAAATTGTCAGGGAGGTAGTTTAGAGCCAGGAGAAGGACATAGGATACTTTTTATCCCGTTCGAAATTAAAAAAAAAGTCTGCTTATTTATTGCCATTAAGGCGGAACAAAGTTCGCCGGGTCAGCTAGTTATATATATAAAAGAAAGTCGTGTTAGTTACTTCACTTATAACTCAAGAACGGCTGAACCGATTTAGCTGAAAATTGCCAGGGAGATAGTTTAGAGCCAGGAGAAGGACATAGGATACTTTTTATCCCGTTCGAAATAAAAAAAGTCAGCTTATTTATTGCCATTAAGGCGGAACAAAGTTCGCCGGGTCAGCTAGTATTACGATAAAAAAAGCTCATAAAACTCATTTATTTTATTTCTGTAAATAAGCACTTTTACCTCATGCTCGACGATCAACCGACATACAAAATCGATACAAGAGCTCTCCCAAGCTATTTTAAAGCTGTATAACATGTTAAGTTTAAAACACAAGCACTGCAGCTTAGTACCAGAGCTTTCCTAGCTCCACTTATCAAGTTGCAAGCCATCTTGTTAACATATTGTCACGAGTTCACGAACTGCAGTTTTGGAAGTTAATTTCATAGTTGACTTAAGTTAATGGGTTAAACTCTGCTTCCTTGCGTAACTTTGCTTTCTAGCTGTTGTTAAGTGTGAACAGAAAATGGCATGTGACAGGTAAAGTCAATTAAAAGGCGATATACAATTAAATATCGAGCAAAAAAATGTCGCGGGTTCGAGTCTCGTCTGAGGTTATTAATTAATAAGGTAAGTATTCAAAAATTGTGTTTTAAATGGTACTGCCGCTGCATCAGCGGAATCCCTCAAGCGACGCAAATATGTAGGTCTTAGTAGTACTTACCTACATGTTTGAGCCATTTGGGGTCGAGATGCTAGGTCCGTGGGGACCAAGTGCTCATCGCCTGTACAGGGAATTAGCCAAGCGGCTGATTGACTGTACAGGTGATATAAGAGCTGGCGCATTTCTTGGCCAACGAATCAGTTTGGCCATTCAGCGCGGAAATGCAGCCAGCATTCTGGGCACCATGTCGCGTTGTTTGGACAGCGATTTGGGACATATTTTTTATTTGTAAATATTTGTAAATATTTAGTCTATGTAGGTTAATTATTTGTATTATTCTTAATTTCTCTCGCATCAAATAAGACACCTAATAAAGAAATTAAGATAATTGTCTCAAATTACTCTGTAAAGAAATAAAGTACCTAAGTTTTGTTGTCCAGTCTATTGAGACTTGGACTTCCGTCTCAGAGAATATTTTTTTCGTCTTGTTTTTTCTCAAATTTTTTTTCTAGGAGTCTATGTAGGCTACATCTTGAAGACTCACCTACATCTAATTCTCAGAAAAGATCTTAAATGTCTATGGTCAATTGAGCAGGCATTAAAAGCAAAAACAGCAGTCACAGCAATATGAAACGCATTCTTAAAATTGTATTTAAAGGGATTTACTTTTACATAATATGTATTTTTAAGCGCAAAATTACTATTAACATGACATTATAACTAAATAAGATTAATTTAGAAAAAATATGATTCAGATTTTCTAATTAGTCTTAAGCACTTGTGGGCATATTTTACCCTTTAAACATAATTAAATTTAACCTTTTACGTGAAAATAAAGTTTTAAAGGTAAGGTTAAAATTTAAAATAACATTAAGTACAACACATGCCGATGAGACTACAGTTAAAGTATAATTATTAAGGTAATTTTGTTAACATTAACAAAGACTTTCCTGATATTTTGTTTTATATTTTATTCACTTTGAACTCATTAGTATTCGAGGTAGAGACATGTAGATATTTTTAAATCCGTTAATTTGCTTTGTATGTAATTGTACTTTGATGGAATTAAAATATCAAAAATATAATGATTTCATTTAGCATTAAAATGGATCTCTGAGTAAAAAGGAATGAATGCTGCAAAATAATAATAAACAAAGGAATTTGTTTATATTAAAAATTTATTTAACGACAAAAAATACCCCTTATAGTTTGGACGATATGCAATTTTTGTTTGTCATAGATGTCCCGAATATTATTTGTCGCACGCGTGGTATGTGTTTATTAGCAGTGTCCCCCAAATTCCTCATGGTACTTGAGATTCCTGGTCCCATAAATTAATTACTCAGTGAACAACCCCACTACTGAGGTATGCGTCAATAAAACCAAACAAATTCAATATAAAATTTATTCCACCTAACAAATTGTAAACCGCTAAGAAAATATATCTATGAATATCCTCGCAAAATTCACATGATCATAAATTATCATTATAACACTAACAATGTACAAATATTTATACAGCATCCCATCTCAGCAAGAAGTTCGCGAAGTTCGAAAATTTCGCGTACTCTCCGTTAATAATTTATTCACATACATTACCAAAAGTTTATCTGTTTAAACAGTTCGTATTGATTAAAACGTAAGACAGTTCAAGGGTACTGCGATAAGTTTTGGGCTTCGAAACTGGTGTCGTTATCACTGACCACATCGATTTGTTCTTGATCGTTATCGCACGAAGATTCCCGGTTTTTGGAGCACGATGCCTTCGTGCAGCAGCACTTCTTAGCTTTACCCTCGGTAGAACTCATCGGACTCTCCTCCTTCTTCAACTTCACGCGGCGATTCTGGAACCAGATTTTCACTTGTTTCTCCGACAGCTTCAGTCTCGACGCGATCTCGATGCGTCTCAATCGCGACAGGTACATGTTCATCGAAAATTCTCTCTCCAACTCTAAAAGTTGCGTTCCGGTGAAGGCGGTTCTAATCCGTTTGCTAGAGTCTTCTTTGATTGGAATTCGTTTCAAGTCCTTTGAGTAACCAGGGAGGAGTTCTTCAGGGTGCGCCAGCGGCGGACTTGGAGTTCCATTTCGGCTCTCACTCGACAGCGAAGGTGACCTCTGACCTTGACTTTTCGCCGGCGACGTTGCTGTTGACTTGTACGGGTGATGAAGATACGGCGACACAGATTTTTTTCTTCGGCTCACAAAACTAATTGGCTCTTGTTCTTCAGTTTTCAGATATCCTTCAAATGGTCTTTGTTCGCTTTGTACTGGTTCGAAAAAATCTGGCTGCCTTGGTAGCTGATGGAAGAGAGGGTATCTGAAGTTCAGATGCTCGAGGAAAGGACGGAATAGGTCTGGAGACCGTTGCTGCTGCTGAAGTCCAAGGCTCAGAAGATTGTTCAGGTTACCCTGGTAAGGGTACGGCAGAAACTTGGGCCGTGTGTCCAAGTGCTGATTGATCAAACTCGTGTACGGGTTCAAATGTTCACTAGACATGTCTGTCTTTTTGCAGTCTTTCGTATCACTGATCAAGGTGTCGACTAGGAACGATCGGGACATGTTGCACTGTTCGCGCTGCGGCGTTTGCTGCACTACTGATGCATAAGGGTGTACGTGCCCGAAGTTACAATTACAAAAACTACCCCCTCTTCCCGCACCCTATTGTAAATAAACACAATAGGTCTCACTCGAAGCGTTTTGGCAATTATGTGGCCCGTCCCACCCTTTTGTCGGAGAGCCGTCAGCCCCAGTGTAGTTTGAAGAAAAAAAAACGTATTGTGAATGAAGCATTTTAGTAGCTATGAATAATTTTGTATGGGACGCTAACATCCCTAATATCTATCTCATTAAATCCAATTTAGTTACTGTTTTACATGCTATAAAAATGTTTCATCCTTTGTCGGTTTTTATTTTTTGTAATTGAGCTTACCGGTTTTGACTGGAGAAACATAATAACATTTTTATGATATACAGAGTCTTGTTGCTACCTCGTACTTTTTTGGAAATGTATTGCTTCAACTGCGGTTTCTACCTACACCAAAAGTGCACACCTTCTCATTTACCCAAACGATTGTTTCAAAAAAAAGTAAGTTGGTACACCAACAGTTATTGTTTCACTGAATGAAAAAGTTGCTCCTTTCATTAAAAAAGGAAGTCGTACCAATCCTGAGGAACAACGATCAAAACCTTTCAAACGTACTACAAAGCATCATATTAATTAAGTATGAATACCCTATAATAGAAGCCGTATGCGCTTCAGATTTTGATACAACCCCATGGGCTGGCGGGTCCATGCCCCGCCCATGGCCTGACCCCATCTGCGAAACTAGTTTATGGAATATTAAAAGGGAAAAATGTTTGGTAGCATTATAATTGTGAATCAATTCGGTTTATTATCACGTCAGATTTAATAAATGTTCGCACTAAGTGGTTTATACCACCCTTTATATTTTTATTAGCGTCGTACGAATTTCATTTTATGAAACTTGTAAAGTTTAGTAATAACTGTTATTTTTAACCGACTTCAAAAAAGTCAAAGGTTCTCCATTCGACTGTATAATCTTTTTTTTATGCATAACAAGGCAGGTATTTGACCACAATCGCACCAATCGCACAATCTTTTATTAAGACAACCGAACGAGTATGTTTCATTAAAATAAATTGTGATAGATACTTTTTGCAATATTAGTATCAGGTTATTCTTCAAGGCTTGAAATACATTTTGTACTAATCCTACTAATATTATAAATGCGAAAGTTTGTGTGGATGTCTGGATGTTTGTTACTCTTTCGCGCAAAAACTACTGAACGGATTTTCATGAAACTTTACAGTATAACCCAGTATAACATATTATTATAGGCTATAATTTATGACGATTTGTGACAAACTTTCACGCGTGTGGAGCCGCGGGCAAAAGCTAGTATTCCATACTTTGTCTGTTTTAAGCTATCATGTTCATAATGGTGGAGAACGTATCGGATATAGCTAAGTCCATTTCAAACCTTTGCTGATTCATTCGTGACGTTCGTGGAAAAATTAAATTAAATGATGATGATTTTGCAAACTACGATGCTGGACTCTACTCATCTAAAAACTCAACCAAACGTTAACTCCCCTTAACTTATTTTCGCGATGTCTTCTATTATAATTTGGATAGTTTTTCTGATAAGGCTTTAAGATTCATTCGACTTACAGATTTACCTTTCAGTACTTTTCGAAAGAAACAAATCATTTCAGACAAAGATTTAGAGCAGTTAGCAAAGAAAATATATTTTAAGTGTAAATTATAATAACTGAATTAAAAAAATATTATTATTACGAACTTTGAGGTTCTTCAAGAACATTTTAAATATTTCAAAGGTAAGCTAGATATATTGTTCAGTTTATTTTGTTAGAAAACTCAGTTCACATTAAATTTGTATTCGGTTGACAAACTTGCATTTTATGTAGCTTTCGCGTTTCCAATAACGGAAGAGGCGAAATGCGCTGCAAATGCAGAAGGCTTTTAGCTAACGCATGGTCGATTGGAAGTTACATTTTCTTTGAAGAAGCTTACAGTTACGGAAGTATGAATTGTTTAGTCTGGCAAAATATGGCGGCGCATTTTACATTAACTTAGCTGCTTTCTTTTTGTTTGTCATAGAAGGATCTTTAACATATTCCTTATTTTAACCGTAACAATAACCGATGCTTTTTGTATTGAGTTTGACAGGTCTTAGACAAAAATCCGTTACATAATCAATTATTTTCCTTTCTGCAAAAATTATGGATTTATCACAAAAAATCTAGCCCATGATCGATCTTATTAAATTACTGAAGCTCTACTTTCTTTCCAAACTCATTATTTAATCTAAAAATATCACAGACTGAAAGTCGACGACAATAGACAATCAGTTGAGTAACTGGAGCTGAACAAAAATCCATCATTATTATTTTGTCTGTTAACGTTTTATTCCATTATGATTTTAATTATGTCTCCATAAAAGCTTAATTTGGATTAAATATTTAACGAACCAACTTCAGATAAAAGTTTGCTAATTTCCTCATTAACAAAAACCTCGCCATTGTTCTGTACCCAACGGACGAAGTTTCAAATTGATTAGCCAAAAAGGCAAATCCAAGTTGGCAACATTTAGCAAAAAATTGCAGATTCCGTATTGTTGACGAAATCTGCCACATCGAGATACACTCACGAGTGGATGCGGCTGGCTAACAATACGTCTACAGCAAATAGGTAAACATTGCGACTAAAACTAACTTGTATAATGCAGCCGATGTAGTCTTAATACCTCATAGTATAACATTCACTTTCGCCTGACTCTCGTGTTTTAGGACCAACGCCCTCACCAAACGAAGTTGATACAGATAGACAGATAATAAAGGGGTATTATTATCAGCCTCGTGCGAAGGGGTAATGGATAATTGTGCCTATTTGATAATACCAGGTGGTGCGCAAAATTTAAAAAGTACAAGAAGCACAATAAATGCTCCGTGTTTGTTCTTTTTGATCTGTCGTATGATACCGAATCGATATCCCAAACAATAGAGGATATAATTGGTTTGTTTGAGAAATACTGCGTTTGTGAATTCAAACGATTAAAATAACATTTTGTTGTATATTTATTGGAAATTGGGAAACCTTACTCTATCGTTTCTCAAAATATAAAGGCTTGGTAAATATCAAGGATCAAGTGAATGAAATAATAAGTTTAGGGTCAAGTTGAATCTTTTACTATTTTTTTATTGCATTCATACTTTTTAAATAACCAAATCCAATCATTTAATCTACTTCACACTTCTAACAATACAATACCTAACAAAGGTTCCAATCCAATAGAAAACCAATTGCAAAGTCCGTGACACAAAACTGCTTAACTCACAAATGCAATTAAAACGAAACGGAAATGAGTGCAAAAAGGCTATTTAATGACCACCTGTGCTTTGTCCAAGATGGCCGACTTCTAAGAACGACTTTTAAATGAGACGACAATGCTGTCGCCCGCTTGTCTGAGGCAAGTCACACTACGGGGTACACTTGTAGGTTTCATTCAACAATTTCTACGTTCATTCATGGTTTTGCCACGGTGGATTTATGAATGAAGTATCGATTCCTTTTGACCATTATGATTTTGAGAGGTGAGGCAGGTATGTTGTTACTATCAGTTTTACAATAGTTTTTTTAAGCAGTGAAATAAAGCTCAGATTGGCGTATCTTTCACGTTTTGCTGCCCAGAAGGATTCCTTTGAAGATCGTAGGTGATCGTACATTATTTCTATGGTCATTGAGAAATTTTGAGTCCATTAAGCTTTTGTGATGTTAGTATTTATTGGACGATTTGTCATGTGTTTGAGCGAATTTTTGTGAAGGTTTGATCTTTTGGAGTTCAGTGTTATTCTCATTTCTATAAAATCACCGACAATTTCTCACGGTTCAGTGGTTTTGTAATTTATGGCTTTACACGTATTTGCCATGCTTAGTCAATGAAAATATGAAATCCATAGTTTGGTATTTTTAATTCAGTAATAGTTACCGTAGCTCTTGCTCTCTCTATACGTATATTCGGATAAAGATTTTTTTTGACGTTGAGTAGGTAGGTAGTAGGTATCTTTACTTTTTTTTAAAAGTAGGTTTTGTGTAAGTTTTGAGTTCAAACTACTTATTTATTAAAATAACATGTAAGTACACAATGACACTTTTTTATACACCAAAAAACAGTTCCGCTTCAAACTCTACATTTTTAAAACTTTTTAATTATTTTACTTCGTTTTCCATTCCGCTCGTACAGAAAGAAACTTATTTCTAAAGCATTTTAATCTTAATTACCTTTGTTTGTCTAAATGTATTTACAGATGCTCTAATAAACTGAAAGTACTTAGCTATACTTAAATACATACAACGTTATTAAATATTCAAAAGATCTAAAATATGTAGGAATATAATAAACCACTTAGCAGGCTTTGAGTTGTTAATGCAACATGTTAAAACTTTCAAACATTTTAGTAATCGCATTTTACTAAGGGGGTTAGCAAAAATTGAAAGTCACCCATAGGATGTTAACTTTTAGAACATCAAAGCAAAAAATTAATGGAGAGCGGGCGAGCAGTAAAAAGGGTAAGTCAAATTTTAGCTAAAATGCGGTGGGACTGGGAGAATTTTAGGAAAAATTTCAGCCAAAAAAGTGATGCTGATACTTTTCTGGTGAAATATTGCTGAGTGTTTTATCCGTATGCTCCAAAGCACTTAGGGTAAATTATTTAAACAGATTTCTGTTTTAGTGCCACACAAATATTTAATTTTCTGTTTTTGTTCGAATTATGATGAGCGTTATTTTTACAATATGGATTTGCAAATTTTGGTAAAAATGTACTTAGGTAATTTTATAACTGAACCCAACCCTTGTACAGCTCTTTTATCACGTTAAAGAGTGCTTTTAGTATCTGATGTTCTGTTTTAGGGACCTAATTTATTGTAAAAGTTTGTTTAAATTATGCAAGAAACTTGAAAAAATACAAGCAAGAATTATCACAATTAAAGACGCAATGCCTCTATGGCTAAATAAAAATAATTTTAAGAGAAAATAGCG